AAAGGGACCAGTTTGCTGGTCTGATAGAGCCTGGTGGAACCACTGAGACTATGGCCCCTAGCTGCCCTTCAGGTCTGGAATTGAACCCACTCTGGTGGCTTCCAGCCAAACAGAAGACAGGCATATGAGGTGAACATTTACATTAGCTAGATACACTCCTTGGAGAGATCAATCATGGGAGGATAGTAGGGCTGTGTATGCACAGGGAGACAGCTCGGGGGGCAGGAGTGCATGGAGGGAAGGACACAGGGAAGAGGTAACTATGAGGAGGAAGTGGATGGGGAGCTGTTACATTGTGCGAAATTGTAGTCAATGTCATGAGATAGTATATGTAAGGTGCTGTATGGAAAGCGAATTTGCTCTGTAAATTTTCACTCAAATCACAATAAAAATTAAAAAAAAATGGATCAACACAGTGGCTACAGTGATGGGCTTAAGTATATCAAGGATTGTGAGGATGGCACAGGACCTGGCAATGTCTCTTTCTTTTGTACATGGGGTATTATTAGTCGGAGCTGACTTGTCAGCACCTAACAACAGTAATAATGTTTGGATACATGCCACAATGTAGCACCATTTACTATTATGAACCATTGTATGTACCTCAAATTTTTAACATAATAATCTTTACAGGCATTGGTTCATAACTATGGGTTGTACAAAAATTGGACATTCATAACTTGAGGGCTGCCTGTATATGCAAAAGAAACAAAAGCCAGAACTTAAATAGATATTTGTACATGAATGTTCAGAGCAGTTGAATGTTCAGAGCAGCACTATCTGCAGTAGCTAAAGGACAGAAACAACTCAAATGTCCATTAAATGATTAATGGATAAACAAGGTATGTTTTATACACACACACACACACACATATATACACACACAAAGGAATATTACTCAGCCATAAAAAGGAATGCAACAACATGGTTAAACATTGAAAAATTATGCTAACTGAAAGAAGTCAGGCACAAAAGGTCATATATTGTATGATTCCAGTTATATGAAATATCTAGAATGGTAAATCCAGAATGGAAATATGTGGAATGGGACAGAAAGCAAACTGGTGATTGCCAGGGGCTGGGCTATAGTGAGGAGTAGAAAGTGATTGTTTAATGGCTATGCAGTGTTTTTTTTTTTTTTTAATTTTAATGAGGTGATGAATATATTTTGGAACTAGAGTTAGTAGTAGTACAGCATTGTGAAATGTACACTTTAATATAGTTCATTTTGTTACATGAATTTCACCTTAATATAAAAAATTACGTCTAATAGGAGAGTAGACAAAAATATTCTCATGCGAAGTAATTCTAGTTTTAAATGGCTTTGGATCTGACTCTAACATACTATCCTTCTTCATCTTCATCTAGCAGCTTTGAAGAGTTACTAGGTTATATGTTGTTGTTATGTGCCATCAAGTCAGACCCGACTCACAGCAACTCCTCCTTGGGTTTCTGATGTGGTATCACTACAGAAGTAGATTGCCCACCCTTCCTTCTGGGTTTGAACCGCCAGCCTTCTGGTTAGCAGTCAAATGCCTTAGGCACTACGCTACCAGAACTCCCCTATAGAACCTAATAACAAATATTCTCCTTTATGGCTTATATGTGTTTGGGAGTGGTGTGAAGAAATTGTAACTTCAGCAAACTAATTATTTCAAGAAGCTCAGCATTACTATTACTTTAAGGTTGTCTTGTCGGGCCTGCATTACTATTTCAGTGCCTTTCGTTTCCTTTTCTATCTAATAGGTTTATTTGCTAAGCTCTTGGCAGGCAGGCTTGGAAAGTCTCTGGGTGGCCAAACATTTTACACTTGATTACTAACGTAAGAGTTAGTGGTAGGAACCTATCCAGCGGTGTTCTAAAAGAAAGCTCTGGCATTCTGCTTCCATAAAGATTACCCACTGTCATCAAGTTGATTCAGACTCATAGTGACCTTATAGGACAGAGTAGATCTGCCCCATAGGTTCCATAGGCTGTACATCTTTACCGTAACAGACTGACTTCTTTTTCTCATGGATAGGCTGATAGATTCAATCTGCTGACTTTTAGTTAGCAGTCTATTGCCTTAGTCACTGCACCACCAGCACTACTGCTCCATAAAGATTGTTGTTGTTGTTATGTGCCGTCGAGTCAGACCTGACTTACAGCGACCCCTCCTTGGGTTTCTGAGCTGGTATCACTATGGAAGTAGATTGCCCAGCCTTCCTTCCAAGAAGTGGCTGGTGGGTTTGAACCCTACGGAGCAATTCTGCTCTGTAACATATGAGGTCGCTCTGTGTCTGAATCAACATGACATCAACAAATTTGGTTTGGTGTATGGGCAGGCTTATTTGGATACAATTCCATGAGTGCTTTTAAGTCCTTTTTTTTTTTTTTAATTAATGTCACTAAAGGCACCAAAGGAGCTCTGGTGGCGAAGTGCCTAAAGCATTTGACTGCTAACCAGAAGGCTGGTGGTTCAAACCCACCAGCCACTCCTCAGAAGAAAGGTTGAGTAATCTACTTTTGTAGTGATACTGCCTCAGAAACCCAAGGAGGGGTTGCTATGAGTTGGATTGGACTCTGCAGCAGTGAGTGAAAGACAGAACTTTAATGTAGTTATCTAAAGATGATTCAGAACTCTTTCCTGAGAAATACTGGCTATCTTACTAGAACTTTTATTGTTACTTTTGCTAAATACAGGTTTCATATATAATACGTTTGTGAAAATATTTATCCATTAGATATCCCTATTCTGCTTTTTTCACAAACATTTTGTCTTACATTGTAGGCTATCTTTATCACCTGGCATATGATAAGCATTCCATAAATATTTGTTGGGCACTCTGGTAGCATAGTGCCTAAGGCACTTGACTGCTAACCAGAAGGCTGGCAGTTCAAACCCACCAGCCACTCCTCGGAAGGAAGATGGGGCAATCTACTTCCGTAGTGATACTGCCTTGGAAACCCATGGAGGGGTCGCTATGTGTCGGGTCCAACTCCACGGTACATAAAAACAACAACAAAAAATATTTGTTGGATTAGAAAATCACTCTTAGAACATAGTACATGGTAATGAAGACTTTGTTCTGAAAATATGTATTTCCCTCCCTAAAATCCCAATCACATAATTTTCTTATAACTTTAAAAGAATAGTGAAGGTAAAAGAAAGATATGTATTATCTACCCATCTAGTGTTTTTTGAAGGAGTCCTCTCTGGTGGTGCAAATGGTTAACACACCTGCCTGCTAACCAAAAGGTTGGAGGTTTGAATCTGCCCATGTTCACCTTGGAAGAAAGGCCTGGTGACCACCTTCCAAAACATCAGCCATTGAAAACCCTGTGGAACATACATAGTTCTACTGTACCATTCATTGGGTCACCATGAGTTGGAATTTACTCAGTGGCAGCTGATAGTCACTTTTAAACTACCACTATAAATAGTTCATCAATTTTGTCATAGAATTCACTGTGCAAATAGTTTTATTTGAAATGTTCTTAAGAGTCGTGTATTTTGTGAAAATCAATAAAGTTTTATTTACTTCCCAGGAACGTGAGCTGGAAGAATGGCAATTACAACAAAGAAGACAAGGTTGTATTAACACAATAATTGAAGAAGAAAGACTAAAACTTCTCAAAGAACATGCTACAAAATTACTAGGATATCTCCCTAAAGTAAGTGAGACTTGAAAAGTGTAATATTCCTAACTCCTGAGAGTGAAAAAAATTAGGATTTTAGGATTTCAGAGGACCCAGGTTTCGCTCACTTCTTACCCCGTTACTAAAGAGCATTGGAACCTTAACCTAAATACTTTCATCTGCTCTGGGCCCATTCAAATGTCTCTAAAATGACAGCATTGGTCTTGGCACATCCTTAGAAGTATGAGCAAGATTTTTTAAATTTAAATTTTAGAGTTTTTTTCCCTCCCTGTTCAGCATTAGTATAAAATAAAACTAAACTATCCTAGAGCCACTGTGATGTGTTGTATGCCAAAGATGATAATATATATGAAAATGTAATTGGTAACACCAGTAACAAATACACATTTGAACTGAGTCCAAGTTCAAACTGAGATCTGCTCTGTAGTAAGAAGTTGTTATTACTAGGTATTAGGAAACCTTAAGGCGATCTAGTGGCATAGTGCCTAAGGCATTTGACTGCTAATCAGAAGGTTGATGGTTCAAACCCACCAGCTGCTCCAAGGAAGGACAATGGAGCAATCTACTTCCATGAAGATTTACCACCTCAGAAACCCAGTGGGGGTTGCTGTTAGTTAGGATTGACTCCATAGCAATGAGTTTGTTTGTTTTGAGGCAATCTTGGTTTTCACAAGTACTTCCAGATAGCAAATGTTCATGTGTATTTGAGACACATTGTGACTATAAAATAATTGAGTTTCCCAAGGTTACAAATAAAATCACTATTCTTTAAATATGAAGGGCATGCCATTTGATATTTTATTCAGTCAGAAGAATGAAGTACATATTTTGTGTATGGTCCAGTGCTAAGTAAGCCCACAGAAAATGGAAATATATGAGTAGTTATTGCCTGTCCACAAGAACCTTATAGTCTAATTGGTTAGACGGGATTCCTGAATATGAAATGATGTGTTTATATGAAAAGCAATATATAATTGATACATTTCATAAAATAGACTATAAATCCTGGGAGAGTCTAGAGGTTTCAGTATTTTGAGGAGAAATAATTGTGGAGAAAGTAGGAGGGCCTTAATGATCCCAAATGACCAGAAGTATTTAGATTCTTTAGATAGAAAAATAATAAATACTTAAATAAATAAAGTCTTATTTTAAAGAGTCTTTTGCTGTATAAAGGAAGAAAATAGAGTGAAGAATTTCAAAGGCTTGCTTAAATGGCTTAACTCCAAAACTGAGGCATTTGTAGCCATCTCATGCATGAATCTTCCAAAGCTCAGTCCCTCCAGCCCTGGCCTTGCTCATATCTTATGATAGAGCTGTTTCAAGACAAAGGTGGGCTACAGTATTGGATAAATTCCCTCCCATCTAGTCAATCCAAGCAGGAGTAATATTCCTATGACAGTGCCTCCACTGAAGTTGGCAAATCAAGAAATCAAGTTGGTCTAAAAATGTTTATTACATTAAAGTCATAATATTTAGAAAATGTTGATGGTTCTTTTTTATTTTAAAATTCTGTTAGTTTTTTTTAATATTTTTCATTATTTTTGGGATAACTTTATTAACCTTATGTTCTATGAGTTTGCTAGTCTTAAAACACTTAGTTGAAATGTTCTAGCATTCAAAAGTAACCAACAAAATATTTTTCTTTTAGGGAGTATTTAAAAAAGAGGATGATATTGATATGCTTGGTGAAGAGTTTAGGAAAGCATATCAGAAAAGAAGTGAAGTTTGTGAAGAAAAGTGAGATCATCGAACTTTGGTAAAACCAAGATTGTTTTGTATGTTACCACTAGATGTCAGTGTAACTTTGGTTTTACAATTTGGTGACTTGGCCTAAAATATCACTATCTCATAATTTGTAAACAGTTATCTGTAAGAATACATTTTTAATATTAAAAATATTGCTGAATAAGTTTTGTAACAGAAAAAGTAATTTCATTTGTTGTTGTTGTGTGCCGTCGAGTTGGACCCGACTCATAGTGACCCCTCCTTGGGTTTCCAAGGCAGTATCACTATCACTACGGAAGTAGATTGCCCCATCTTCCTTCCAAGGAGTGGGTGGTGGGTTTGAACAGCCAGCCTTCTGGTTAGCAATCAAGTGCCTTAGGCACTATGCTACCAGAGCTCTGTAATTTCATTTAGTCAAACTATATTATTTTTGTACTGATAATCTGGTCTAAATTTGACATTATATTATACATTATGCAATATATACATGTTGCCATTGAGTCATTTCCAACTCAACAACCCTATACAACAGAGTAGTACTGCCCCATAGGGTTTCCAAGGCTGTAAATCTTTAAGGAAGCAGACGGCCACATCTTTCTTCCACACAGCAACTGGTTGGTTTGAACCACCATCTTTATGCCTAGCAGCCAAGCACTTAAGCACTGCACCATCAGATGGACTTCATGCCATATGTGTATGTGTGTATATTTGTGTATGTATGTATATATATTTGTGTATTTATATATATATATATTTCTTGCTGAAAGTGAGGATGACTTAAGGCACCTACTGATGAAGGTTGAAGAATACAGTCTGCAGTATGGATTACATCTCAACATAAAGAAAACAAAAATCCTCACAACTGGACCTATGAGCAGCATCACAATAAATGGAGAGAAATTGAGGTTGTCAAAGAATTCACGTTGCTTGGTTCTACAATCGATGCCAACGGAAGCAGCAGTCAGGACATTAGAGAATGTATAGCATTGGGAAAGTCAACTGCGAAGGAACTGTTTCAGGTGCTGAGGAGCAAGGATATCTCCTTGAGGACTAAGGTGCGCCTGACACAAGCCATGATATTTCCAATCGCCTCGTATGCATGTGAGAGCTGGACAATGAATAAGGAAGACCGAAGAAGAGTTGATGCTTTTGAGTTGTGGTGCTGGCGGAGAATGCTGAAAGTACCATGGACTGCTAAAAGAACTAACAGATCTGTCCTGGAGGAAGTGCAGCCGGAATGCTCCTTGGAAGCAAGAATGGCCAGACTTCGTCTCACCTATTTTGGTCATGTTGTAAGAAGGGACCATTCCCTGGAGAAGGATGTCATGCTTGGTAGGGTGGAGGGTCGACGAAAGAGGGGGAGGCCTTCAACGAGATGGATTGATACAGTGGCTGCGATGATGGGATCAAGTATAGCAGGGATTGTGGGGCTGGCGCAGGATCAGGCAGTGTTTCGTTCTGCTGTGCATGGGGTCGCTATGAGTCGGAAACGACTCGACGGCACTTAACAACAACAACAACAATATATATATATACACACACACACACACACAAATATACATACTTGTAATTTGCTTTATCACATATAAAAAACCAAACCAAACTCACTGCCATCGAGTCCGATGTGACTCATAGTGATCCCTCCTTGGGTTGCTGAGGCGGTATCGTTATGGAAGTAGATTGCCCAATCTTCCTTCTGAGGAGTGGCTGGTGGGTTTGAACTGCCAGCCTTCTGGTTAGCATCAAATGCCTTAGGCACTATGCTACCAGAGCTCCTTTATCATATATAATACATAAACATACATGAGAAAACAAATTATAAGCCATACTCAAGACACTTACTTCTTCATACCACTCCCACTGTTCAGAGTTTTTTCTGCATCCCTGTTTCTCAAGACATTATCTTCACCTTGACTAATAGAGAAGATACTCTAGCCCAAAGTAGACTGTCCTTTCTTTATATTACTATGTTTTCTTTGGGAATTTTATATCCTTGACTTGGTTTTAAAGCATCTTTTTCTGTGTACCTTCATGAGAAAAGAAAAGAGAGTGCAATACTCCATAACACTTTATTACCAAATGTGCTTAATCATCAATAAGAACTTAAAATAGAATTTCTCTCAGATAAACTGTCATTTATGAACTAGAGCTGACTCTCCAAAACTTAAATTTATTTTATATATTCAAGTGCAGTTGTGAAAGCATAAAAGAAAAAGGAGAGTAGGTCATAAGAAAGATAATTAAAAAGTTAAATTCTTTTTGCTTTATTTTATTAAATATTTCCTTTTCCAAATATAGTTTTGTATGCTCCAACTCTAAATAAGGAAATCTCTGAAATTATTTTGATTTCATTATCAAATATTGTCATTAATTACAAAGAATCAAAATAATTCAACCCATTACAATTTTTTCAAGTTTAAGAAAGTGATACCCATAACACACTATCAGTTATCTTCTAGAGATGTAGATCATTTATGAATTTCCCCATTCTAGTGCCTTCATAAATTCCTCTTCAGTGAAAGACAGCATCTTGGCAGCTTCAATATGCATCTGTAACAAAAAATATTTTCTAATTTAGTATTAAGAGTAGACCACAAAACAACCGGAAGTATGTGTGTGAGTGTGTGTCTATAATATGCTATTCACATGATAAGTAAGTTCTGTTGTAGAACTGTACTCTCTAATTCCAATAAACATGGTATTTGAAAGGGTAATTGAATTCATAGGCCAGACTATAAAAGCCTATATATCTATCAGTGGTACTGAACCTTCCTGTTAAGAGAATAATTCCGTAATAGTATAATACCTGGCCTTTACAAAAAGGGAAAGTGGCAGAACCATAAATTCTTATCTTCTCAACATGTGTCCCACGTATAGAGCAGTGAACAATAGAGGTTTGGAATATCTTCAAGGTTTTAAGAGGTAAACAATCTCCTAAGGCAATACTCATTCTTATATGGTACTTTCTTTAGTTGGGCAGGACCTATGTTGCATTTCCACTCCCATTTTCCATATTAAAAATTAACTTACACTGAAAATAAAAATTTGCTTGATGGCACATTATATATAAATCTTATATTTTACATATATAATGTATTTTATATTGAAAAATAAAGATCCCAAAATAAAAATTAAATGCCTAAAGTAAAAATACTCAATATTTTAGTAAAACAGTCCACATAATATATATGATTTTTTTAGTGTATACTCACCTTCTGCCTTTTTAAAACATCAATTAATTTTAATTGCTTCTTGAACCCTAGCATTAATTCTCCTTTCTGTTTTTCTAATTTCTTGTTTTCTGATTTCAAGGATTCAATTTTTTTCTGTACGTCATTTGCTATATCCTACAAAAGGGAAAAAAAAATACTCTATTTTCTTCCTTGAATATGCAGTCTTTTGATGGAAAAATTACAAAAATTATTTTTAAAACTCAAACAAAATTTTTGTAGATAAAAATTTCTTTGCATTAATCAATTATTAAAATTTTGATAGGTTTTAATCATGCTCAGGTATCTCTCATTTTAAAAAATGTTTTAAAAATAAGTTAATTCAGTTCTAGTTCCCAGCAATGGCAGAGTACACTGTATTGAACCAACTCTCCTGACAATACAAACTCTGGACAGTTGAAAAATATATTTGAAGGCATAAATAAATAATGAATAGTAAGCAGAAACTAGAGGGGATATGATTCTTGACAGTAGGAAAGCACACTGGTTAAGATGTGCATATAGCTGGCTTCACCTCTGAGTGCACTTCCCAATTCATGGGCTCACTGCCAAACTCACTGCCACTGGGTCGATTCCAACTCATAGCAACCCCATTGGGTTTCTGAGGTAGTAAATCGTTACAGAAATAGCTTGCCCCATCTTCTTTACGCAGAATGGCTGGTGGGTTTGAAGTGCCAGCCTTCTGGTTAGTAGTCAGATGCCTTTGGCACTGTACCACCAAAGCTCATTATCAAGCAAAAAGTAGCAGTTTTATTGAGCTGAGGAGTTAGAGGGCAGGGCTTTCAGAATGGTTGGAAATTTCCAGGTAAGAAATCCTGGAAAGGAGGGGGAACCTCAACATCTGCATATGTATGTCCCTCAACTATTTGCCCCACACCTAAATTCTGTGTGCAGAGTAAGACTCCAAGAAACCAAGAAAAAGCTGAACAAAAATTTCTGCCATTGTTCAGGGCAAGGGGACCAAGTTTGTAATGTTTATAAAAATTAACTGGATGAGCTTTGCAGCAATTTGGACATCACAGAAGAAGAACTGGTGAACTTTAAGACAGGTCAACAAAAATGATTGTACTTCCAAAAATGTTAAAGGAATTCTTTCAGGTAGAAAGAATACTATACAAGCAAGTAATCTGAATTTACACACATGAAAAAAAGAAAGAAAAAATATGTAAAAAGATGTAAAATGATTTTTTATAGAAAATCTCTTTAAAAGATAATTCAGTCTTTAAAGATAAAAAAATGATAATGTAAATGTGGAGTTTGTATATGTGAAGTAAAATGTATGACAACAGTAGCAAAAGTGCTGGGAACAGTGAAATGGAAATATGCTGTTATAAGGTTATTACATTATTCATAAACTGCTATAATTCTTGAAGGTAGACTGTAGTAAGTTAAAGATATGTATGATAAACACTAAAAGTTGTATACAGAAAGAGGTATAGATAATGAGCCAATATAGAAAAAACGGAATCATGAAATATCAAATTCAAAAGAAGGCAAGAAAAGAAGAGTGGGAGAAGAAAGAACAGATGGGACAAATAAAAGATAATACAGCAAGATAATAAACTTAAATCCAATTGTATTAATAACATTAACCATAAATGGCCTAACACCCAAATTAAAAAGTCAGAGATTATCAGATTGGATTAAAAAAACAAACTCAATTATATGTTGTCTACAGTAAACTCATTTTAAATACAAAGACAAAAGGGATTAAAAGTGAAAAGATGGAAAAAGGTATACCAATGCTAACACTAATTTTTTAAAAAGAAGCTATAGTTGTTTAATATCAGATGATGCACATATCAGAAAAAGAATATTACCAGGAATAAAGAAAGTTATGTCATAATAATAAAGGAGTTAATTAATCAAGAGAAAAATGACATAACTGAACATTGGGGCAATCTACTTCCATAGTGATACT